TTCTATTGAATTAGCAATTCTGTCATGAAATTCTCAACGTCGTTGTATATAAATATATTATATTTCAATTCAAACCAAATTAGGAAAAGAAAAAAATATTGCAATCAAATGACCCATAATTTCTGCATTAGTAATAATGAGAAATATTTAATTACAGATCATGTCAAAATATTCAAAAATAATAAATGTAGGGTGATAGACCAATAACCTCATATAGCAATCTTACAATAAGTGACGTTAGTAAAGAACAAAAGCTTTTATTCAGAGGGTCGAAAAATAAAATTTTAAATGTGTGAAATAGAATCCAAAGTAATATATAACACTAACAAAGAATTAAATTTTAAAAGAATTAGGTAACCTGTGCACTCAACATGAATCGAACTTACAAACTGGGAATAATACTCACAACCCAAGTTGCACAATTCAGTACCACCGAGTTATCTCTCCCATTTGATTTAGGTGGTTCAAAAATAATATACATATAAAAATATAAAAAATCTATCCTATATCTTATAGTATAATTTCTTGTTGAGGGGATTCGGGTGAAGCATACGCCTACTACGTAGATAATGTGAAGCTGAGTCAATTAATAGCGACAACCACTTTTTTGCATAGTGCCATTTTAGTGCCATAACTAATTATTCAAGATTATGGATTTACATAATAACAAGAATACAACAGATTTTACAAATATTATGCTTTCTATTGTTTTTTAGTGGGTAAAAGAAGTTCATTCTCAAAAAAGATGAAGAAAGTGACGAAGATCATATTCTCAAAAGAGAAAATATGTACAAAGTAAGAAATATTGCAACGACAACATGAAATTCTTGAAAGAAATGGTGAACTGAAAAACGAGGATGAGTTTGAAAATCGTCAATTATGGGTATGCTATAGCCCTTACTACTGCTGTGCAGCCTTTCCTCGGGTTCGTAGAGTCGGGTTTCCCGTTTACCCACAACGGAGGAGCCGCCCCCACCAGGCAGGCGACCACGGGTCATAACGCACTCTTCGCACAACAAATCCACTTTGAAGTTGACTTATTCGCTCGGCCAGTCATCGGAATGTGTACGAGATACCATAAGGGCCCAATATCTCAATAGCACCTTTGTCTAAAGCTTCGAAGGAGACTTCATATCCGAAACGCAGGAACGATCTGACTAGAAGTCATTCAAAACTTGATCGAAAAACAAGCGTTTATTGAAGAAGCTATAGAGTCGATTACTAATAGTACTAGTTTGAAAGGCTGCATAACAATTTTGATTTGAAAAAATTCACAATATTGATTTCAACACATGTAAACTTTCTTCGATATTCAAGCCGAAGAAATGTTTGATTCTTATTTAATGTTAAACATGAATTCGTGTATGTTGAGACAAAGCTCTATAACAATCTAATGTATATGTATTTAAATTGATTGTATACACCGTAGATATTATGAATACGCAATTGACAATGTGTGTACAAAATATGATTATATATCAAAAAAAGTTTATCAAGAGGTGATATATCTATACACATCCATAGCGGCAAAATATACTTTGTCTACTAGTAATGTATACAAACAAAATATAAATAATGTATACATTATAATGCAAATGTATACTTGATTAAACGTATACTTGATCACATGTATTCAACTGAATACATATTTATTTGCAGTAGATTTCAACGTTCACCACATATTAAATATATATAAACATAAATTGGACGCCTAATACTAAGTTTAGATTATGCAAGTGGGCACATAAACAAAATATGAAATCAAATCGTGTATATATTATGTACTAACATATATTTGATCAAATATATTTAACTGAATATACGAACAAATCTATAGTTATGCATACACTAAACATATATATTAACTGTAGATTTTAGTGTATATATATATTCTAAAGTCTACAGTTAATATAAACATGGATTGAGTTTCTCACCCTAACTTCTAACAAACAATTGAGAAAAATAATTTATAGATGGTAGACTCGTAAAAATATTCTTTCAAAGAAGCAATGTCATAATTAAATACTTTTGCTAATTTTGAGGAGAGAGATAATTCTAAATAAATATTTTGCTAGTTTTTTTAAGGAGAAGTAATTGGAAGTTAGAAAAGAGATGGATACTAAATGTCTTTTATATTTTAAAGAAAAATAATTTGAAGAGAGATATGGTTATATGGATGTATATAGAAATTTCATTCCCTATTTTTGTGCAGAATACACATATAGCTATAAAATGCCTATTTTTTTTAGGCTTTTATCTGCTAAATATTTATATGGCTAAAACATACCAATTTAATCTAAAAATTGTATATATGTGTCAATTCCTCAAACCAGTTTCAATTGGGAATCAAAACTTAAGAGAAAATTTCAGATATAGAAAACATAATAGACATAATAAAGATCTATAGCTATAGTTTCGATAATTGTGCTCCATAGCTATATTTTCGTTTGCTATGGAGGCTGCCGTTTGTATATTTCTGCCTATTTATATATTTCGCTTGCAAATATACAAATAGGGTAAGTATATACAAATTTTGTATTTATACATTTAAGAATTTTTTAGAACTCCGTTTGTAGATTTCACTTGCAAATATACAAACAGGGCAATTTATTATGAATTTTTCATAAAGCGTATACAAATAGCTAGGGTAAACATATACAAAGTTATGAATTTATACAATCATGAACCAAATTATGCAAATTCTTGATTTAAATCAGAAGAATAGAAAGAAGTGGGGAAATTGTAGTCACGAATTATAATTTTCTTAAACTGTAATTATAATACCTAATATAGACTAAATATTGTTAATCTGCATAATTTTTCCAAACTTCAAAGAGAACATAATTAGAGGGAAACTTACTTAAATATACTATATTAAGAAAATATTTACCATTTATAGCAATAACATTATTTTTTCCACTTGATCATTTTTAGTACATATTACAGAGAACAATTTATAGCACACATATAATACAATTTCTATTGTTGTATAATACATTTATCACACATTTTAATACACTTATAATACAATGTGTCAATTTCTTACCAAACAAAAATAATATATTTTAAAACAGTTATAATACATATATATTGCATACACAATTTACTTTTAATACATATTGCAGATTTATCATAGTATTGTTATATATTACTATAAATGATAATAAATAAAAAGTATCTCTAAAATCAGTAATTATTTATTAAAAAGTACCATTTAAGTAATTTTTCCATTAGACAATATGGACCTTTGGCCCAACAAATGTGCGACGGCCCAACAAATAGTAGCTTGAGAAGTATCTTTGTGGTATATTAGAAAATATTTAGTAATATTTATTTACTTAGCAAACTTATTTGTCTGTCACAATTCATTTTATTATGGTATATTAGAAAACATTTGGCTGCATTCTCGGCTTTACTTGAGCCGAGAGTCTATTAAAAATAACATTTTTAAGGTTGCGTACACAATTAACATCATTCTCTTTAGATACCATTTATAAAATTACACTGAATATGTTATCGTTATTTGACTCCATTCTGGACTCATTATTTCTTTATTAGGCATTGTGTTACTTTCATTGCTTTTTGTTGTCATTAAGACAAGAACAATTATTTTCTTCTATTAAAAATGACGAAAGACAAAGAATGTCACTTTCTCAAGCATGAAGCATGGCCAGTGTGGATTACAATGTTAGTAGAATTATAACAAAGGGATAATTCATGCAGTCAATAATAATAAAAGAATTTTAATGCGATGATTAATAATTACTTTTTAGGGATGAAACTATGTAAATTATTTAAAAGTTCTTGATTAATAATTCATGTAAATATTTTTTGAAAATTTTACAAATAAATATGAACACTTAAAAAAGAATTAACAACAAGGGTAATATAAGAAAACTTTAATTAATAATTTCTTGATTTAATAAGATTAATAGCTAATATGAAAAAAGTATTTTAGTAAAATGATCCATTAATATAGGACAGAGAGTAATATAGGCTCAAATTATTAGGAGATCCATAAGGAAGTACAATTTTCCACCTAAGAAAACTATTCCCAAAATTACCCCATTCCCCTAAAAAAGTGAAAACTAACCACTTGAATAATTTTTAAAAATCTATTTCTAACCCATTTTATTTTATTTTTAATTTAGAAGTCCGTATAATTTATTTATTTTTTAAAATATGTACCCAAAAATATGGGTCCCCCAAGCAATCACTTTTGTTGCTTAGGGGTTAAGACGGCCCTATCAACTAAAGTGATTTTTCCTATATGAATTTTTTTCTTCTACTATATCCTATTTTTCGCTAATTGTGCTTTAATTTTCAAAGATCGGAGGTCGTTTCAAACAATTTCTTGATTTTAGGTCTACATCGTCCTGTTCAGGGGCAAATTTAAGCTTAAAAAATGGGTCACCTGAACCCATGGTCATCCGACAAAACTCGATGTATTACTTGTATAATTTTTAAAATATATCAAATAGCAACTGAAGGAACCCATGAACACAAACAATTAGATGGTTCACTGGTTTGACTATCTGTTTTCCACTTTGAGGTTGAGGGATCGATTCCCAAAGAGTTTCTGCATTCAGCCTTTTTTAAACTTCTTCTAATGACTTTTTCTTATAATAAAATTTATTTATTTTGCAAATGTATTTAATATTTTTCTTATGAAAAACCTATATTTACTATTGCTAAAATAAATAAGGCCCCTCAAATTTAAAAGCCTAAATTAGTTGCCTTTTCTCTTAAAGGGACAGAGCCGCCCTTGACAATGATGCACCCGTCTTCTTGAAATTCTAGATTCGCCTCTGGTCCCGTTCTACTACATTTGTTGTAGTTTTAACATACACATAGAAGCATCTCACAATTGACGTAAAATATATAATCACACTATCTCAAGCGTAGGTTACTTGTCATCCATGCTGTCTTGTATTTCATTTCCTCACTATATATAATCACATTTCTTTTCTCATTTCTTCAATCTCCCATTACACAAATTAACCAAATATGGAAAATTCCCTCAAATATGTTGCTAGTGAGAGTTTTTCATATAGTTGGTTGTTAAATGAAACTCCTCCTTCTCTTAAATCCACCATTCTTGATGATCAAGATACAACATTCTTGAATTTTTCAAAGAGATTCTTGGAATTAGAATCACAAAATTTCAACTTTGATATCAAGCCTACTTTTTCTTTTGTTCATGCTGATGAAATATTTTCAGATGGACATATTATGCCTTTGTATTTTGACAACATATCAAAGATTGAAACAATTTGTAACTTTGACACTTGTTCAATTTCTTCAACTCCTCTTACACCCTTTTATGCTACAAACAGAGGAAAACAGAGAAAATCATGTTGTAAAATCTTGGTCAAGAGGTTAAATTTTCTTTGGTTGTTTTGCAAGAGTTTAGGTAATTCAAGAAAAGGTTCAAAAGTTGATGATTTTGAAAGAAAAGTTTTGGAAATTGATAGTAGAAATTCACCTATGAGAAGTCCATCTCATTGTATAGATATGGAGAATACAATTTCTGACGCAATTTTGCATTGTAAGAGATCATTTGGTATGTTAAATGATCTTTGTGATTGATGATTCCGAGGCGGATTCAGGAGTTCAAATTTAATGGATTCAATGTTTAAGATTCTCATCAATGAACTCATTGTGTTGTTAAGATTTTAGTAGTTTTTTTTTTTTATGTATGTAAGGGGTAAGGGTATGAAAAGTACTCCAACTTTGGTCGGATTTGCTGTTGCAATACTAAACTTTCATGAGGACCTATTACCTCCCTAGACTATTTAATACCGTATTTTAAACATATATAATTGCCCACGTGGACATAAAAAATAATGCAAAATTACAAATAATAATGTGTCCACGTGGGCACATATATACCTTTAAAATACACTATTAAATAGTTCAGGGTAAAAAATACGGTATTAAATAGTCTAGGGAGGTAATAGGTCCTTATGAAAATTTAGTATCCCAACAGTAAATCCGACCAAAGTTGAGGTATTTTTCAGAAAAATATATATATTCTATGTTAAAAGTTATGGATTTAGATGAATCTGTACTTAAAAGGGCTACATCTGTCCCTTCATATATATATATATATATAATGCTTTTGCATGTATTTTTCTTTCAACTTTTTCTCCAATAGTGTATATCAAAGATTTAATTTATATTTTGATATTTTGTACCTTCCAATGTGAAAAATAGGCAAAGGTAGGATTTCTATATACTAGGATATTTTCATATATGATTAAAATTTCTATGTTTTCTTCTTTATTATATACTACCAATTTGAAGCCTCTATTACCATATTATTAGTGCTTGGGGTTTGATATCCAGATATTCTAGAGATAACAAGTTCTTGGAAAGAAGGCAAAATGAAGAATGTTTGAGATTTAAGAGAGGATCTATTCCTAGGAATGTTTCTTGAAAAAATCAATAAAATTATTGTGAGGTTAAAGTTGGATAGGGTCCTCGGGAGTCAGCCCCCTCACATTGCCTATTTTCTCCTTTTGTACTTGTTTGGATGGTTGTGCCACTGTGAGCAGTATTAAAAAGAGGTGATTATAAATGACATGATATAATTGTAGCTCATCGAGAATATAATCTTAGATAAAAATGCGTTAAAGGAGTGTGTCCATAGACCATATTCATAGGTAGGAAAGTATTTTTTTGTTGTCCATTCTAGTAGTCGTAGTATCACTCAAGTATTTTGTTTTTCAAGTTCTATTACTATAAATTGTTTCGTGTAGTTTGATTATAGTATTATTTTGTTGTAGTATTAGTATTTGTTATTTTCTTTATTTCCCATTATTAATTTCTTTTTCTTGACTCAAGATTTCATTGAAAACAACTACTTTACCTCAGAGGTAGTCTTTAGGTCTACATAAACTTTATTTTCGTTGAATCTTACTTTGTGGGACCATACTGAATATGTTATTGTTGTTATTCGTGAAATTGCAAATGATTTCACACAAAGATAAATTCACAACACTTGTATGGATGCCATTTTTTTGAATTCATGTGTCACAACACTGCCCTTATGCACTGTATTTCCATCCCTAGGCCCTAGGTCTCCCCCTCGCACCTCACTCTCCCTAAAGAAAAAGAAAACAAAAACAAAAATGGGTACTGATACATGCACACATAGGAGAAACACATAAATACCTATGAACTTGTCACATATTTAGTTTTATTGCTTTGTTTGATTAATTGGATAAAATGGAATATATTATATTGGGAAAAAGGACAAATACACCTCCGGACTATCGTAAATGGTATGTAGATATCCTCCGTCATACTATTGGGACATTGGTAATCCTACCGTCCAAAAACTAGAGCATATATACACTTTATACTAACGGACATACACGTGTCATAATCTTATCTACCGATCCGACATTTATAAAATATTAGATCGACGGATAAGATTGTGTCACGTGTCCCTATTTAGTCTTCCGTTAGAGTGAAGGCATATGCTCTAGTTTTTGGATGGCAGGGGCACCAATGTCCCAAAAGAATGACGGAGGGTATATGCATACCATTTGCGATAGTTCAGGGGTATATTTGTCCTTTTTTCCTATTATATATAATTTAAAACATGTGTTTCTTATTTCCAATTTTAACCTTGATATTTCAATGACTTAGATATGCGTTAATCATATCTTGAATTATTGCGTTTGTTATGATCTATACTCAAGCGTAGGAATTGAGATACTATTTAAGTTACTAAAACAAAATGTATCCTTGAGATACTATTTAAGTTACTAAAAAAAAATGTATCCTTGAGATACTATTTCAGTTACTAAAACAAAAAAAATAAAAAATATATGTATCCTTGAACATTTTTTACTCCAATAGTTATTAAGAGCAGGGGTGAGCGTTGAGTATTCGGTTAGAAAATTTTCAATTTTGGGTTCAGTTATTTAGAAATTCGGTAATTGGTAGTTAAAAGTAGATATCAAATATCAAAATTTTAAATTTCACTTTGGTAATTCTGTAATGGTAAATCAAACTTTGGTTCTATATGGTATTCGGTAATACTGTAATGAAGTTGTAATTACAAAGTTAATATTATCTCTCCAATTATTTCTATTTTTCTATGTAGAGACACCATATAATAGAAGATCAACAAGTAAGAAGACATCCAGAACAGTAAATTGACGCAACTAAAAGACATGTGTATTTGGATTGTTTATGTTTAGTCTTTAACTTTTTCTTTGGACTTGTACTAATGAGTTATGAACCTCATAATATATGACCTTCATTAAGTAAATTTGGTATTCAGGAGATAACTAATACCAAATGATTCTATTGTCTCATACCAAATCCAAAACTCAAATACCTTTTGATTACCATACCAAATATTGTATTACCAAAAAATTCGATTTGATTCAATAATTTAGTTTTCGATATTTTATGGCGAGCCCTAATTAAAAGGTAGGAAATTTAAGAAAAGAAGAAATTAGTAACTCGTACGGCATCCTATTTGGTATAAAAAAAAAAGATGGGTCCATAAGAAATGAAATTTTCCCACGACATATTCATTATAGTTTTGATTTTCTTCTGTTTCATATTTGGAGGTTTAGTTTGAGTGAGACTGATTTTGGGTTAATAAAGCAAAGAATGAGATGTATCCACCATTAATAAGTTCATTGGTGATGATAGCTAGAGAGGGACACATAGGATAATTAACCTAGATACTAGATAGTCGTCTATTCAATTGATTAATCTTAAAATATTCGACAGACGTATAATATATGCGTCCTTCAAGTATAATATGTGTATAATTGTGCATTATAAAGATATAATTTATGTATAGCAGCTAAAAAAAGTAAATAACTAATAAATTTGTCTGATTATTCATATAAAACCTCATAGAAATATCTATAACTTATTTAAGATTATAAGTTTCGATTTTTCCTCCTTCAAACTTCTCTTGCTCACCCCCTACCCCCACCCCAAAAGAAAAAATCTTCACACCCTTCCTTTGATTTGTAAATAGTATGTTCAATAGTGATCTTATTGGGAAATAAAAGATAATTATGATCTACTCAGTACTCACGCGTTACTAACCAGAGCACGAATAAAGTTAATAACACCACAGCAATCAACTCAATCTACGTGTATTATGCCACATAAGATACATATATCTTCTTGATTAATTTTATACAAATTAAAATATTTCTACTTGTATACATTCAAAGTTAGAGGACAAAAATATGAACTAATACTAAGTTAAAAAATATGTTTATGTATTGAGTTTTGTCGAACATGCACGAAACAAAAGGACGAACTCCTAAAGAAACTCGTGCCTTACTTGAGAAGGACCAATGTCAGATCAAGAATTTTAAGATCGTGGGTGCTCCGATCCTTTCGCTATCAATCACAAAATATAAGTGCACAAATTTAACACTTGTCATAAGAAAGACAACAATCATAATTAAATATGATAGCGGAAAAAAATCAATAAGAAAAACTATAATAAAAATTATTTTGAAAAAAAAGAAAAGATAAAGGAAAAGGTTTTTAAATAAAATTTTGTTTAGGAAAAGTTAGCAAAAGGCAGTTTGTGAAAAGGAAAAAAAAAAAACAATCAGCATAGAGAGAAAAATAAATAAAATAAAAAAATAAAATATGTCCCTAAAGGAAATCGAACCTTGGTAGAAACAAGTAAATTATCTTGAGCACCCATTTATAACTACCACACAAACCAATTCATTTGTTACCTTGAAGCTCATCTTTTAACTTTTATACTATTCTTCTTAATTTCTATATAAATATATATAGTTCGATAAAAAGTTAATGAATGCTCGAACATCCGAAAAGTACCAGGTGAGTCTGGCCCGAGAAGTAAAACAAGGGTGTCCCATGAAAGGCGTTTGCTAGGAGATAAAACCATAACTTGAGCCATCACCCTACTTGTTTGTATGTAAAAAATCCATAAAAGAAAAGCAACTCATCTCATCAAACTCAACCAATTATTTAAAAATAAAAATAAAAATGAAAAGAATAAAAAAGGACGGCTTATGGATGTTTTGTTGTTAACAAGTCGTGGAAAGTTCTAGATTTTTCTCTACTTTTCAACGGCTTTCTTCGTTGAAACCGTTGATATTTTTAGATTTTTGGAGTTTTTTGACATGCGAAATGATCAAATAGAAAAAAGATATTTCATTAGATTAGGTATCCAACATTTAAGGTATGAAATTATTATTATTATTTAACATATTCCCTTTAGGATCGCTCCTAGAATTTTTCTCATTTGGTGGCTTGAACTGATATCATATATAATTAGAGGTAGAAATTGCTTATATATGAGCAATCTCTCATGTCTATATGAAAATTAATCTCACCATTTAATACACATAGTGAGATATAATAATCATGTTGTTAGAATTTGTCCTGAATTTGCTATTTTATTTTAATTATATTTTAGCATAATTATATCTATCATTTTCTTGTTGGAGAAATTTTGAACTTCTGTAAATTGAAGATGTTTTTTTCATGAGATGCGCCACATATTCTAAATTAAGTGTATTAATTGGAGATTTTCTATAAATTTGCAACATTAGTTGTGAATCATAATTTTTTT